AATGAGGTCGGTGCCATTGGCTGTACTGGGTGCTCCCACAGTGGGTGCTCGTTAGGTCCCCAATGCCAGGAGCGAGGGGTGTTTGTCATTGGGAAAGCCATTGCTCTTCCCTTGGGCAACCGTAAATAAAATAACAGAGAATCCAGCAGCTTCCCTATAAAACTATGCCAGAGGGGCAAGATTTAAAACATTGCTTTCTCCATGGTTGCTGTATTACATAAAATCTTATACAGTAGCCCCCCTTTATCCACAGGGATACGTTCTAAGACCCCCCAGGGAATGCCCGAAACCACGGAGAGCACCACCCTCCACATGCTACAAATTTCCCTTGACCACCCATGGCAGAGTGTGACGTATAAATTAGGCATGGGTCTCTCTCTCTCTCTCTCTCTCTCTCTCTCTCTCTCTCACCCTCTCTCTCTCTCAAATAAATAAAATCTTTATAAACAACAACAAAAAAAATCCCCAAAATAAAAAAAAAACCTATATAAATCTTTGAATACTAAATCACAAAACTTAAACGGTTTGTTTAACTTCAGGAAGAAAAGCATGTTTCCATAATATATTTGTTTTTTTTTTAAACATAACAGTTTTTTTTTTATTTTTTATATTTTTATTTATTTATGATAGGCACACAGTGAGAGAGAGAGAGAGAGAGGCAGAGACACAGGCAGAGGGAGAAGCAGGTTCCATGCACCGGGAGCCCGACGTGGGATTCGATCCCGGGTCTCCAGGATCGCGCCCTGGGCCAAAGGCAGGTGCTAAACCGCTGCGCCACCCAGGGATCCCTCCATAATATATTTGGATATTGTACAATATTTTACTTTCTTTAATTAAATTGATTTTAGGTAAAAAGAAATTCAACCTAAGTGCATGGGAAAACCTATTGTTTTTTCAATCTAGAGGACATATAAAACAATTGACCATGTTGTTAGATCAAATTAGATTATTTTGAATCGGATTCATTTCTTCACATGTTATTTATGAATGACTTCCTTGATCACATTACTTCTCACTTACGTTTTTATTTAACTTAATATCAGTTTTCTTAAAAGTGTGCATCTTTGCCTATTTTGCTAAGAAAGTTGATAGCAACAAATAGCAAATTCCAGGATTATTTTTATCAGAGGAGTTTCTTAATCCAAACCTTGATACATGAAGAATCCTTATTTCCATTTTGGAAAAGAATATAGACTACGAAACAGTGACTATCTTAGAGATGGTTTAGGCTCAAATACCTCGGTATCATCCCACCTATTATAAACAATCACTTTAGCCAACTTGTATCATAAAATAATGTGATCAAAATCAAGTATTATGAACACAGAGAACACTGTTGTAAAACTTACACATCGCCTATATTTTACGTTTTTACTTAGTAGGTCTTTAAAAAATATTTATTATTTTAAATTTTTTTATTTAAATTCAATTTGCCAACATATAATAAGTAGTTTTTTTTTATTCCTTATATGTGATATCTCAGAAATATAAAGAATCAAAATAGTGCTGTAGTCTCTGCTCACACGGTTAATATGGGTTCGTGCATAGTAAAGGGTTGGTCTGCTCTTTGCTCCCGGTGTCTAGACAGTCATTTCTTGACCCCTGGACCATCCTGAGCGACAGGAATGTCCCTTGTTACTCACGATGGGCTCCTCCAGCCACACCTGAGTTTATGGTAACTGTGATCATGATTCTGTTTGTGATAACATCCGTGCTGTATGTGGGAAGGACAACCACGTGCTTAGAGGCTAGGGGTTTCGAGCCACATGGTACCAGCCTGACCTCACAACCTCTGGGAGGCGACGGGCTGGCTGAAGATGGAGTTCAACCTCGTGGCCAGGGATTGCATTAATCATGCCTACGTAATGAAAACCCGTGAAAACGCTGGACAGCCAAGCTCAGGAGAGCTTCTTGGTCGGTGATACGCAAGTGTCTGGCAAGTGACACGTCCTGAGGACACGGAAGCCCCATGTGCGACCCGGTGCCGGATAGTGCCCTACGAGTCTCTCGGTTTGGCTGCTCCTGATCTGACTACTTTATAACACGCCGTATTTGCAGGCATATTGCTTCTCATGTTCTGCGAGCTAGACTAGGGATTTAGGCAAACTAAGATAAACCCCCCAGTTTTGAGCCAGTTGGTCAAGGTGTGGGTGGCCTGGGGACATTGAGCTTGGAACTGGCGTCTGAGGGGAGATGGGAAGTTGTGCCTTCAGCGCAGGAGCTGTGTGCCAATAAGTCCTGGTGATTATGGTTAGACTTGCACTGCGTTGGTACTTAGGTCAAATATTTTTTAAAAGGTGGGGATTTTAGAGGGCATTTGTGATGAGCACCGAGTGACGTACAGAAGTCTCGAAGCACTAAATTGTACACTTGAAACTAACATTACACTGTGTGCTAGGTGAAAAGTAAATAAAAACTTAAAAAGACTTGTAAATGTAGCTAAAGTTATACATTTAGCCAGAGACATTGCTTACTATTAAGATGGATCCCAGTTTTGTCTTAGAAACGTAGATGCATCTTGACATCTAGCGTCTCAGTACTACTGATAGACTTAATAAATTAAAATTTGCACACATGATGTAACAGAAAAAAAAAGATCTTTCCTCTTGGATAATTCTAAAAACTCAAATTAGAACAAGAAGATTGCTGTTGTTATTCTTTATCAGGCATGCAGGTGATGTGTTTACTTCTTTTATTATTATTTTCTATCACTTTTTAATAAGCCATTCTGCTAACTTTGGTCAAGCAATCACACGACCATGTCCCATGTACTGTCTTCTCAGTACTGTCTACGCTTGTGTGTGAACGTGTTCAAGTAACACACTCATGCCTGAGAAAATCAGGTGGAAAAAAGTAGTTCCATGTTAAATCCTTCTCTTTGAAAAATCAACCTATTCCTCATAATAACTGAGAAATATAAAATCGCACATCTGAGGCTAGGTTCACATAGAGCAGTTATTCAAGAGAAGGTTTAATACAGGCTGAGCTACATTAATTGATAAATACAAGAATTTATCTGGACAATGAAATTCAAACTTCAGGAAAAAAAGGCAAAACACATGCTTTGTAAGCAAGTTTTACTTAATCAAAGAAAATATATTTATAGGACTGTTCTGTATTTACTGAAAAAAGTCCACAGACCCGTGTGGTTCAAACCTATGTCGTTCAAGGGTCACCTATAAAAAGACACTGGCCTGAAACCGCAGGGCTCTGTTGCCTGGAGCATTTCTTCTCCTTTTGATTTATCTGCTTGTATTTTACTAATCTGTTAACATATTTTACTTTTTCCTAGGTATTTTATAATATCAGTTAAGATCTTATTAGTCTCCCAAATCCCAGAAAAATATTATCTTTGATCTCCTTTATCACCCAACACCTACCTGTCATGCTGCATATTTGCCAAAAGTTATAGATATCTTTAGTTTACATGATTATCATTTTTATATATTATTAAAATCTATTTTATTACAACTCTTGTGTTTTGCCATCTGCATGCAGATTTTATTTATGTAATTAATTTTTATATTCATTCATTCATTCATTCATTCATCCATGAGAGACACAGAGAGAGGCAGAGACACAGGCAGAGGGAGAACCAAGCTCCCTGTGGGGAGCCCAATGCAGGACTTGATCCCGGGACCCTGGGGTCACACCCTGGGTGGAAGTCAGATGCTCAACCGCAGAGCCACTCAGGCATCCCTGCATACAGATTTTAAACCATTTTGTTACTGTTCCTATTTTTAGGGGTCGAGATTTTGTTTATTCCTAAGAAGAAATTTGGTACTTGATACATGTAGTAGGTACCTACAATAATCACTCGCTAAGCTAGACTTTTACAAGCGCTATCTGGTGAGGGGCGTGAGCGAAATTACACAGTAAACTGGCATTTTACTGCACCAACTCTAAGTGACCACATAAAACTATGGTTGTATTTGCTGATGTCCAGACACAGGGTGTCTGGAGGGACTAAGCAGGGGCGTGATTAAGCTGTGAAGGGCCCGTTTGCCATCCACTCTGTGTCCAACCTGCTGAGCAGCCGCAGACTAGAGATGTCTGGAGATACAGCCCAGAGAAGCTTGCAACAAAGTTCAGGCCGTGGGACAAAAGGAGGGGATTGGTGGGATGAGGATAGTCCTAGAAAAGCTATTATTTTTCTGTGAATCCAGGAGGATACTAAAATGTGTCAATGTCTGTTCGTCAGTGGTTTAACACAAGGGCAACAATAGTGCTCCATGCAGAGTGTTCTCTGGGGGACTCAGCCTGGCCTCTCAGTGACACGTGCTGACTGTGACGATGATGGTGGTGAAGGGGATGGCGGCGACGGTGACAGCTAATCTGTTGGGAATCTGATCTGTTCACGCTCTACAGGGTGGAAGAGGCAGGGTGACCTGCCAGGATAAAGAAAGGGAGGACGGAGCTGAATAGCACTGCTCTTGGCAAAGGTGAGGGCAGAGCTGCCAAGGCCAGTTTGGAAGCAATTTCTGTGGCGGTGGCAGATGGAAAAAAGAGCAAGGAAGGGCTGCATGGCCGCCGGCACCGTGCTCACCCGGTGGCTCGTGAGGGTGGCAGCATCTGCGGTAAAGGGTTGGGATTACCTTCGACTCTGATGGACCAAAGCACCGCCAAGTTCCGGCCTAAATGCCCCCAAATGCAGAGTGCAATTTTCCTGGATTGCCTAGTCTAGGGCACCTCTCCTTCTGGGACCTGGGATCCACTGGCGGCTGCACCCCCACCTTCTGTTACTACCCCTGGATCCCTTGTCCCCGGGCCTCCGCCTGTCGCCCGCCCATGCTCTGCTTCCCACTCCTTCCAGCAGCCCCCTCGCTCTGTGGGAACAAAGCTGACTCTCGGCGCACCTCTCAGGGTTTCAACACTCACCAAGCTATTATGGGTATGGTTACGTTCTGTAGGAAAACACCTGCATCAAATGTTTCCTTGCTGTTGTCTGTTAGTGTTTGATGATTCTGGTTCACAAACCCTGGGAGCTGGTGTCATCTTACCTGAGAAACTTCCCAGCCTGGGTGCAGTCATGTCCCCGCCATCATAAATCTCCAGGGAGTCCCAGTTCTGCTCGGTGGCAAAACTGATCACTTGGATCTAGCAAACAACAGTACTCGGTTAATATGTATTTTTAGTTTAAAGAAATTAGCCTGATCATGTGGGGTTTCTTGTGAAAACTTAATATATGCCCGTAAGAAAAAGGTAAAACCAAGGAGAATATGCAAAGATATTTGAAAATTTCTACAAATGGTACTTTTCACAGCTTTTATCCTAAAACTCTATTATTGCTATTCCAAATATAGAAATGTGATTAGAAACACATTATAGAAGCAGTAGGAAGAGAGAACAGGTTATGGTTTAAGTGTTTATAATAACCAATGCATAATGATTAAAGCAAATAACCAATGCAAAAATAAAATAAACCAATGCAACAAATAAAATAACCAATGCAAAAATAAATAAAATAAGATAAAATAACCAATTCAGAAATAAATAAAATAACCAATGCAGAAATAAATAAGATAAAATAACTGATTCAGAAATAAAAAAATAACCAATGCAGAAATAAATAAAAAGATAAAATAACTAATTCAGAAATAAAAAATAACCAATGCAGAAATAAATAAAATAAAATAAAATAAAATAACCAATTCATAAATATATAAAATAAAATAAAATAAAATAAAATAAAATAAAATAAAATAAAATAAAACAATAAAATAACCAATGCAAAACAGAAACCATGCACGGGAAGCAAGCACTTCCTGGCCAAGCCCCGTGCATTCCGGGCCTGTGGGCGTGAGGGGCTTACCTGAATTCCTGATCCCTCTGTAACTATGATTTTCCAGATACAGTTTAAGTTGTTACCATATGGTTCTGGGTAGCCAGGGGATAAAATGGTGCCTCTGCGCTGAGTGAAATTGCCACTGCAGGGGACTGAAAGACAAAACCATATCTCGTAAAAATAGAGTACAGAGAAGGACAGCCTTAAGTCGGTGCCGAGAGTTTCCTTGCCGTGTGATCAGATATTAAGAGACGCTTTACAGGGAGTGTGGTCCTTGACAGGGATGGCATTGGCAGCCCGGGTGCACGTGAGCCTGTTCCCTTATGAACTCGCACCGTCTCTGATCGTTACTCGCTGTCCTCCCAAGTTATGGAACTGGCGTCTAAGAGTAAATATCTCCAAGCTCCCCCACGAGGGGCTGTGCCTAACACTGGCATCTCTGACGTGAATCCTGTTTAGAATAATTTTATCCGTGCGATTTAGGGAGCTTTGCAGAGCACTGTCTTCTATACGCAGACTCGCAACTCCCAAGGATATTAGTGGGATTTATGAGCAAATCCAGAGAGGAGAAGAGACGCTGAAAACGTACAAATGAATGCAAGAGCTAATCGTGACTGTTGCACTGCAGGGCCTTACACGGAAGGAAGCAAATAAACTATATCTAACAACGGCATTGTTATTCGGGCTGCGTTAACCTGTTACTTTTCAATCCTTCATCAGCCCACATTTATTAAAAGGACATCACACAAGATAGCAAATCAACATTATAATGATTCTTCCCCAAAATGAAATTATGTTCTACACCCACGGTGTTGAGACCTAATGGCCTACTTAATAAGTATGGGGAAAGGAAACATATTTCACACTCGTTAATCTAATGAGTTGTTTCGTGAAACACGGTAATCTTTAGGGTTTAGCTGCTGCTCAATTATTTCATATAAAATGCGTTGCTCCGTAAGGAGGTCCGGGGGATGACCAGGCGGTGGAGATGGGAGACCAGGTCCTGGAGACCAGGCAGGAGCACTGAAAAGCAGCTCTTCGGCCGGCTGCGAGGCTGGGCTGGACAGCCTGGTGCGGGTCATCACACCTGCTGGACACACGCTTACCTATGCAGCTCGGGATCGTGTCGTTCCACTGAGCTAGAGCGTTGGGCACGGACTGGCAGCGGATGGCAGTGGAGCCCTGGAGGAGGTACCCCGGGTTACACTCGAATCGGACGATAGAGCCCGCCGAAAACTCGGAGCCGATTCTCCTTCCGTATCTGGGCTCGGGGATGGAGCTGCACTGGGTATCGCTGGTTCGAGGAACCGCTAGAAGCAAAGCACACAACACAGGTCCTGTCTCTTCACTGGGAAGCAAAATATTTCCTTGGAAGTAGAGTTGAGTCCAGAGAGAGTTGATGTTAATATAGGAATTAATAACGCCTTCTGCAATTTCTAGAGGGATGATTTGGGGGCCTCCCCTCATCTGCATTTCATCCTCTTACCAGCCCCGAGGACCGCCTTATAGTCTCATTCCAGATGAGAAAAACGTGGCATAAGGAGTATGAGTGCCTTATGAGAATTGAGTGATATTCAGGCAATTAAAATTAATTAAGCACCCAAATCACTGTGCTCATGATAATGAGGTGACTGAGGATTGTACTTATTCTCAAAGACCTTGGAGTCTAGCGAGTACACAATGGCTATTGTGATGAAATAACAGAATTAAAAACGGAACTACCGTATGACCCGGCAACCTCACTTCTGGGTGTATATCCAAAAAAATATTAGAATCAGCACCTCAGAGAGAGATCTTTCTGGCCCCACGTTCACTGCAGGATGATTTCCCAAGCCATGGAAACAACCTGCGTGCCCATTGACGGATGAAGGGATAGGGAAAATGTTTTATATCCATGCAATGGAATATTATTTAGCCTTAAAAAAAGAAAGAAATTCTGCTGTTTTCAATGACACAGACATTCCTCTATCTCCCAATAATAGTCAAGACACCCCGCCCCACTGGGCTCCCTGCCGGCACCCGGTCCGAAGCAAAGTCACGCCGCCTGCAGTCCTGTCCCAAATCACGCAGCACAAACCTCAACCCCATAACCAGCCCCTCCTGGAACTTTCCCTTGGAGACGTCTCAGGGTCTCCTTGGCGTGTGGCCCTCAGCAAGGCGGCCGGTAGAGACCCAAGCTTGTCTGATTACAGGTGTGTCCTTCCGGTCGTTGGGTGGAAGGCACAGGCAGGTGAGCCTCCTGCCAGGATGGGGCGATGCATCTATTTGGGTTGTTCATTGGAATTCACCATCCATGGGAGATTTATCTGTTTATCCAAAGGGCGGGGACAAAGTTGGAAAAATGCTTCCATCACCAAAAACGTCCCATATGCCAAAGCGACTCTTCGAGGACCAGATCCAGCAGGCGGGCACTGGAAGCGCCATGGAAGTCGGGACGTCTCTCATCCCCAGGGCCCCCTCTCTCCTTCGGTGTGTGTGTCGCCTCCTTGCACCGAGCGGCCTTCTGCGAGAATGAGCTCCTACGCTCCGCTGCTCCCCGGCGATCCTCTGTGTTGGCACTGCTCTCCCTAAGGGGCAGGCGTCGGGCAGGGGATCGAGCCCGAGCAGGGACGGACGCCACCAGGGAACCACGGCCCGGCAGGCAGGCCCGTGGAACGGAGGCCACAGATGGTTCCGACCAAACCGCACCCGAATCCAGCGCTCAAGTGTTGGCCATCAGGAGGCCAAGTGCATGACGTCATATACCAGCAGCCGCAGGGGAAGCGGTTAAGGATACATCATCAGAAAGGCTCTTTTTTTTTTTTTTGATGACTAAAAACAGAATGCAGAATAACTGTGATATGATAACAAAAGATCGCTTAGAACTCCTACTTGTTGGGTTTCTAAATCTGAGGATGCCCGTTACAGTTGAACAAGCCGCGTGAGAGCAAAAAGGAAATGGACGAAAAATATCCCACAGAGGCTTCAACTCCCAAGAATTGTTTTCACCAAACTGGAGAAATATCCCTCCAGGGGCAGCTTTTCTACTTGCCCTGACTTACAGGGAAGGCAAAGGCTCCTCACTGACGTAGGTGGGCTCGCACGCGGGGGCCCGGGGTGCGGGGGCCCGTGCGCGGCGACAACCGCACCGTCAGCGTCATTCGGACACATGCCACCATCGAGCCTTTCTTCATGAACTTCAAAATTTTCACTTTTTAAAGGGAAATAATAATAATGAGCCCCAAACACCTGCATTTGGATGAAATTGTGAAGGACGGTTTTTAGAGGAAGGGGCTTCCGAAGTGAGAACACCAGCTGTGAGTCTGCAAAGGGGGCCAGAAGCGAGCAGAGCCCTCGGGCCGACGGCCGCCCCAGGTCTGGGGGGGTCACACCATGTGCGGCTCCTGGTGGTGTTGCCCGCCCTCGGGTCCTGCCCCTGTCCTGGATGCTCCAGGAGCCGCGGACGGACGTTCGATCCTCTGTGCTCATCACCCTCTACCTTGTAGCAAAGTCGCACCTGCTGCGAAGCGGAACTGAAATCCGCGTGGTGGAAAGCCGGCAGGGATGAGGTCAGCCTGGAGGAGGAGGCGGTAGGCAGAGGGGTGACGGCCCGGAGGGGGGGCCTCCCGGCCTCCCGCGCACGCACAGAAAGGGCACCCGCGGTAGGTCCGCCGCCCTCCCCCCGCCAATGCCCGCAGCCCAGGTCTGCACACGGGGCTTGCTCACGGCTCCTCTATCCGAGCAGGTGCAAGAGCAGCAACAGCCATAATAATAACAAACCCGGATGCACGTAGCAACCACTTGCCAAGCCTACGCGAGGCAGTCCTTCCAGTGCCACTCAGTGACAGGGGACATTTCCCTTTCTCAAAATCACTCGGTTTGGTGATGACAGGCCACGACCAGTCGGTGATTTCAAACACCGTCGCCGAACGATGAGCAAAACCTTGTGCTTATTCGTCTGTGTGAAGCAGTGTGCGCTTTATAGACTCTTTATACAAAATGTGAATTTCTTAGGCTGGAAAACCTTATATTTTATGCCTTCTAACCGGAGACGAGGCCCGGGGAAGACCACTAAGGACGCGCAGGTACCTGCCAAGGAAGGGCCTCGAGCAAAGGAGACTTCAGTGTTGATTTTTCCTTCCCAAACTCAGAAAACGCGCTTCCATGTTTCTGGGTTGTTGATCAGTTCATTTGGAAGCTGAGGAGAGGGAGCGTTGCCCTGGGACGATCTCGGAACAGGAAAGGCCGAGCCCGGACATCCAGGCGGCAGGAGGTGGGTGCAGGGGGGCTGGGGGTGAGCGTCACGGGTCCTGGGGTCCCCTCAGCCAATCTGACATGGGGCAACCGGGACTGGGCACCCGCCGGCCGTGGGAAGTCGTGCACGGTGTGGAGGCTTGGTATTAAGATGTGGCCTCCTTTCCCCCTTGAAGCATCCAGTAAATCCCGCCTGATGCACCGAGTTTGGCGGGAATGAGTTACTTCGAGGGAGCGTAAAGGAGAGTCGGCTCCACGGGCAATGCACAGGGGAACGGATGAGGTGTGCCCACGGCCCCGCGGCCGGGCCTGAACAGACGCCGTGAGAGATGGTGTCACCGGGTCCTGCCCCGGGCACCGGCTGGGCTCCTGCTGCTCCGCTGCTACTGCTCTAAGGTCACAGGGAGCCCACAAAGCAATGAAAGCTGCACGGCAGAGCCGGGAGGGGTCTCCGAAGCCCGAGGGATTGCGCCGCGCTCAGTTTGCTAAGAAGCAGCAGGCCGTCGCCACGGGCCGTCCCCACGGGCCGGGTTTCCTAGGATGACGGGAATTTTGATTTTCTCGTTGATCTAAGATTACGTTGACTTCAGGGCTGATGCATGTTGGAATGGCATCGTGTATCCCACCGTGCAGACCCACCTACCGACTGTGGTCCCGCCAGCCCGGGTCTGAGGGCTGGGGCAGCGCTCGGAAGCCTCGGCAGCCCTAGGGCCGGGCGGAGGGGCAGCGAGACCTCCTCCTGGGGGCCTCACGGGAGGCCCGAGGAGCTACTGGAGGAGCAAGGGGTGCTCCTGCCTCCATGGAAGGGTGCTGCTGCAGGACACGGGCTGCGGAGGCCAGGCCTGGAGCCCAAGTGCAGGACCATCACAGACTCCCTGAGGGGGAGTCCCTGGACCAGTGTTCCTGGGAGGTTCTCATGGTGTCATTTGCCTCTAGATCCACCGGACGGGCACAGAGTGAGGCAGGCACCTGCTGAGTCAAGGGGGGGGGCGTTGCCCGAGGAGGACTGCGCCTGAGCCACCTGCTGGAAGAGGCGCTCCTCCGCCGCTCAACACACGGCGCCCCACTCGTCTCTGCCCACACTGTGCTTAGACGCCTGGTGACCTGGGCATCGAGCAGGCTGCCCCATCCCCGAGGATGCGATGTCCTTGGGCATTGAGTTCAATAGCATTGAGCAGCCGAACGAAGCTCCTCACGGGTTCTGAGTCCTCACTGACCAACCACCGCGGAGGAGCTATTTGAAGCGCTGTATTATAGGGGGTCCCCCGATCAGCCTTCTCTGGGGCACACCTGGGCTCTGATCACCCTCTTCCAAACACGCCCCTCTACCTCTAAGTCACGTGGAAAGCACATGAGAAGGAACAGAGGCGAATGTTAATTGGGACACTGTAAATAAATGAAAAAAGCAAAAAAAAAAAAAAAAAAAAAAGCCTTGCTACGTCCATTGAACCAGGGCAGCGCGGAGGGCTGGGTAAGGGCAAGACACAGGGGTCCTGGCCTCCCGCATTCCCGGCCGCTGCCCACTGGCCACAGGGGTCTCCAGCAGCTCCTGGAGACACAAGCTTAGTCGCCGGGGCTGGAGACACCGTCCTCACAGACGCCAGGAGGGGCCTGTGCAATTTTAAGCTTGAATAACATATGAAGGGATGAAGCCATCAATGTTACACACTTTCCAGGAAGTGTTTTTCTTTTTCTTTTTTTTTTCCCCCAGGAAGTGTTCTTCTACAACAGATCGCACGTTTTCTTGGCTTCCGTGCAACGTTCAAGTCAACTTTCCATGTGTATCCAAGACTTCCCCGGGGGCTCCTGAGTGACTCATAAGTTGCATTCATGATTCTAGCTCTTTACTTCCAAAGGATTTAGCTTTGATAAAAAGACATCAAATTTTTTTTTTTTTGCTTAAAATTACTGCAGGAACAGAGCAAGTAAAGGAGGTATAATGAGCCTTGTAAAATGGTGAGGATGTTGGAGTCCTTATATATTAAAGACAAGGAAAACATATTCCTTCTATAAATGATTTTTTTTCTTTCCACTTTTCTGTTTTTATTCACTGTAATGGTAATGTGTCACTTGAAACCAGGAAACGTATTTTTAAAATCATGACTTCTGATGATGACATTTGTCAACAGGATAGGCACAGGGTCATTTGCCTCAAGTATTTTATTTGATCATCTGAGTGATTTTCCGATCCTTATAAAAAAATCAAAGAACACCCTTTATGAAGACAGATAATGTCAGCAACTTGAAGTTCTCTGGGATAAAATATGTACTTAAACCAAGTGGTCCAGTTTATTTATATATCAGCCCAATTCATCTTGGTTTGTAAATTGGCTTCTGTGAAATAACATACAATTATTTACAGAAAAGTAGGAGCGGGTAAGACGTAAGTTGCCTACATTGGCCATTGTCCAATGAAGTCCATTAAAATTATTGCTTTAAATGTCTATATTTTAAGAAAAGGCACAATTTAGGACAATGCAACTAATTTTAACTCAGTAGCAACATCATTCAAGCAATTGCCAATTACACTGCATTAGAGACTCTCCGCCTGCAGCTTGCCCGTCAGATTTTTCCTACTCCTTTCTCATCGTTTTTTAAGCCATCTTATCGCCGAACACTGAAGAGGTTTTATGGTGAAACATTTTATACTTTATCAAATAATTATTTTATAATTTATGGGTTTTATAAAAGTATTTCAAGGGCTTGGAATTTGCAGTGTGAGAGTATTATAGACATTATAAATGAAATTACACATCATTTTCCATAATATATATTTTTTATGACCATAATGATGCCGTCGAGCATGTTTTCTGAAGTCTCTATTAAAGGCCAGAGACACTGCTAGGAAGTGATCGTCCTCCACTTCTGAAGAAAATATTTAAGAGCAGTGAGTAACCTCTCCAGCCTCAAGCAAAACTGAGACCTAGAAAAACTAAGTATTTCTTCTTTTTTTTTTTTTTTGGAATACACAGTTTGTCTCTGCAGATGGTAATCTCTGTCACACTTCAAGCTCCACAGCCAATTCCAAGTTTACCCAGAGACCCTCTCTGTGCTTCCAAAACTGTATAAACAGTTTATATATATTTTTTCAAGTTCATGTAATGAATATTGCAAGATAAAGGTAAACTAGAAATAGGGGGAAAAATCCTAAATTTTTTTAAGAAACTTTGTGCCATCTTAAACATTTTCAATAAGCTCCAGTTTCACAAATAAATATAAAGGAGTCAAAGTGCCAAGAGTTAATGGAATGCAAACAAATTAAAATAGGTATTTAGGGGATGAGAGCTCAGATGGTATTTGGGGTTTTGTTTGATTTTATTAAGTTGCTTTTTCAAGTAGTTTTCACAGGAAGATTTGGAAATGACTAATGTGGTTTAAAGGTATTTTATTGAAGCAGTTCCTGAAACCTCAACTACTATAACACACTTTGCCTAATTCCACAGAATATTATGACGCATGTGAAATCCTTTTGCAAAAGGTGAAGTGCTATACAGAGGGGATTTGTGTTTCCTGATGATACCTCATCCAGACGAATGAGCTGTTACTGTGTCTTTGTAGTAGAAATATCACATTTCAGCATCAAAAAAGGTGATGATTTTTATCAAATCGTTTTATCATCAATATAAGACTACCCTCAATTTCCCAAATATCAGGAGAAAAACCAAGCCAGCCCCGCAGCTCAGATCCCGTTACCGCTCCGGCGCGCCGCACCTTACCTTGGTAAACAAAGTGGAAGCCGCGGGCGGACGCGCCGCTCTTGGCGCTGAACCGGAGGAGAATCTGGTTCGAGGTCGCCAAAGGCAGCGTTTCACCTAAGGGAGAAAGCAGAGGACACTCGTGGGAAGGACAGGCCACACCTGCCGCGCTGGAGGACGGTGTTGCTGGGAACTGATGATGAACCCGGAATTTCGCATTTAGCTGTTGGACTTTTACCGACTCCCCCTCGGGCTTAGGGCCCGGACACACCACTTCTGTCAAGATTTTAAAACTGCTCTTGTCTATTCGTTCTGCCACGACGTCACTTTGACGACCGTGGCCTTCGTGCCTTCCTCTGAGGCCGGCTCTGCTAGGGGTCAGCCGATGCCGTGGGAAGTCGGGGAGTCAGACCCATCGCGGACTCAGCATCAACTTTATTTGACGATGACTTGCTAGGATTCTACTGAAATTGAGCAAGTCTGAATCCAATGTCGACCTCAAAAATACTAAAGCATTCAGGAAAAAATTAAAAACTAATGAAACGGTATTTCCACCTTGGACAGTAGCACCAGGCCACAGGAACGACCCCTGTGCGTGCTGCCGAGGGGCACACGGGTGGTCTTGGGGCTCCCCAGGTGAATCTGTCCCTACAGACCAGGATTTTAAATCTCTATCTTGTGATGCGTTTCGAGACATCACATCAGTGGATGTTGGCAGAAAATAGCAAGACATGGGTCTCAAGACCGTTGGCTCGTGATGGGAAATCATCCAATTCCAACCTTGGTCGGCAAGAGTCTGTGACGCACACGTCGACTCTAACTGGGTCAATGGTGAGAAGACATCAGTGGTACGAACCCTGCTGCTTTGCTCAAGTGCGTACTATTCACCACTAAAACTGATGCCCTTTGGTGAATATCCATGTTTTTTGATAGGGAAAGACTCCACATGTGCTTTTAAATAAAAGTACAGCACAGGGGAGCCTGGCTGGCTCTGTTGGTGAAGCGTCTGGCTTGGGCGCAAGTCGTGACCCTGGGGTCCCAGGTCGAGCCCCACGTCGGGCCCCCTGCTCAGCAGAGAGTCTGCTCCTCGTTCCGACCCTCACCCCACTCACCCCACTCATGCTCTCTGTCTCTCTCTCTCTCAAAGAATTTTTTTTAAATAAAAGTAAGGCATAAAGCCTGGGCTGTGAGGCAGCACCCCACATTTGACGAGGCCCCTCGCGGCCCTGTGCATGTATCTGCACCACCGTGCACCCAGCGTGCTCACATACGAGCGCGATGAGCTCTCTATGTACATCCGTACTTAAAGGCTGGTCATGATTTAGACCAAAGCACTGATACCGTTTATCTCCTATAAGATTATGGGACAGAGAGGAGAAAATAGACGACACAGGGTCATTTGTCACCCCTTCTTTTTCTGATATTTGTTACTGAGATGGGTGTTGTATTTTCTACGACCTTAGTAAGTAAAATGATGAAGGTCTGCGGTTCTACACGTGGGATAAAGATACAGCTGAAGTTTTGCATCAAAAATGAGGTCATTAAAAAAATTTAAAAAAAATAAAAAAAAATAAATAAGCAGGCACATTCAAAGATGATCGCATTTCTCTTTCGTGAGCAAGAAAAAACGAACGACGAGTTTGAACCTAGTCGTTCTGGCTAAATGAACCCGACAGGCCTCCCCGGACACTTACCTGAATGGGACCCAGAGAGCGAGCTGAGGAGTCTGGCCTGTGGGTGTGTCCCGTCAAATAATTCCGCCAAATCGTTGAGCGCCGTCTGGAAATAGGCAAACTGTCCAAACACCACTGCAAAACAGGGGGGGTGGGTTGGCACAGCGTAGCTTTGTCAAAAAAAGAAAGACATGGAGATCGGTTGTCCTATCGATGGATTCCTCTGAAGGATCCTGAGAATCCTGTGGGAAATCCTGAACTGGTTTTCTCCGGTTTCTAAGAGTTATCAGTTGCTTAAACAATTTCATTTTGCTTCTTGATGGCTTCACACTTAATAAAAGGAATAAAATACTGTTCCCTGTCTAGTTTGAATACTAATTTTTTTTAAAGTAATGAGTTAGGATAGGAGAAAAATAGCCAGACAGCTGCTCCATTTATTTAAGAGCAGTTAATGACATCTTTGAGGCACGAGGATCAAGACATTTGTTGGTTTTAAAAACAAGCCAAACGATAAAAAGAAAAACTAAAAACATGCCAATTTGGCCAAGAACTTAAGATTCTTTACTTACGATTATCGTAAGGCCAAATTCATATGGACGTGATGCAGTTTATATGCAAGTCAGCAACATAGTGGAAAAATTAGTCATTGTTATTCCAATGCACAGTTTTATTTATCTCATAAGTGATATAAACATCACGAACACGCCTCCTCCAAGTAAAACGGGGCTGTGCAGTTCATTACTTCAAATTTATTGAATTTTTTTGTACTCAAGTCAACCAGAGCCTTTACAACATTTAGAGACACTTGTGACTTAGCACGCAGGCTGGGGGCACGTCACTCTCGTGTGTGTGGAAGGATTAAACTAGAATCACCCTAAATCGTCCTACGTGAGACATGGATGTGGGCATCTCCGTTATCAGGTCACGATTCCAACAGAAGGATCAATGCAGGTGCTGGCAAAACGGAGGGGTCTGGGTGTGGCCGCCTGTGCGTGTGTGTCCTGCATGTGCACACGCCTCTCACGTGTGCGTGTCGTATGCATCGCGTGCAGCACGGATGTCATGGGATATATGCGCAGCCATATACACGTATTTTGAGATTTTATGATTGGAAGAGTTAGAAGGAGGAAGAGAACTTCATGATGCCAACATGGTTCTGGCTCCTACAATTCCTTTGTTCACAGCCCCCCCACCACTGCCCCCCGGAATAAATCTTCATCATGTTGGAGGCAGGACACTTGGGTTTTTTTCTTTTTTTTAATGTTTCAAAAGGGAATGATGCACACATAATTTCAAGAAACCTGTATTGATTGATTGATTTTAAGAGACTTTTAGAAGGCATCCGCTGAATGCCAGACTCTGAAGATGAGCAGGACGGAGTCCCGGCCCCGGGGCCGTCACATGCCAAGGTGCGCAGTGCTCCCACAACGAATGCAGACTGAGGGGCCAACGTGGGGCTTCCTGGGCCAGCTGCCTGGGCTGCCTCTAGGGCCGGGGCGGGTAGGGGGGGTGCCCCGAGGAGCAGACGGCTGCCAAGAGCGACAGGTGCTCACTGCTGTGGCCACTGCGGCTAGGGGCGACCATGAAGGGGGCAGGGAAGGGGCTGTAGGACATGAGCCACAGGGCAGCCGCTCCTCGCCGGGGGGGGGGGCGGAGGGCACGGGGCTGTCCAGGTCGGACGGGGGACACAGCAGGATCGCTGGTCCTCAGAGCAGGAGAACCGAAACCCTGTCGTGTAAGAATGGGATGCAGGCCAGTTATTACAGCAGGTGAACATGAAGGGTCAGATTCTGCCCGTGATGAATGTGGCCAAGGGTCTGGGCAGGCGCTCAGGCATGGAGGGGAGGAGAGCAATTAGGGAGCAAGGCCTCCGCAGCCCGAGGCTGTAGGGCCAGGAAGACACACCTAAATATGTGGGGTTTCCTCCTGGGCAAAACAGGGAGGGGAGGATGCACATTGAGGTGCTTCCGTGATCAGAGCTTTGTTTTAGGAAGGATACTTCGGTGATGCTTTTGGGTGAAAATAGGGAGAGGACTAGGATAAGGACTGGGGTAAGGTCTGGGGTAAGGCCCGGGGTAAGGACCTGGTAAAGACGGGGTAAGGCCTGGGGTAAGGACCGGGTAAGGACGGGATAAGGACTGGGGTAAGGCCCGGATAAGGACTGGGTAAGGATGGGGTAAGGACGGGGTAAGGCCCAGGTAAGGCCTGGGGTAAGGACCGGGGTAAGGATGGGGTAAGGCCCGGGGTAAGGACCGGGTAACGACGGGGTAAGGACCGGGGTAAGGACCAGGTAAGGCCAGGGGTAAGGACTGGGGTAAGGACTGGGGTAAATATGGGGTAAGGATGGGGTAAGGACTGGGGTAAGGACAAGGGTAAGGACTGGGTAAGGCCTGGGGTAGGGACCGGGGTAAGGACCAGGTAAGGCCCGGGGTAAGGACTAGGGTAAGGACCAGGTAAGGCCTGGGGTAAGGACCCAGATAAGGACCAGGGTAAGGACTGGATAAGGCCCAGGGTAAGGACCAGGTAATGCCCGGGGTAAGGCCCGGGTAAGGCCTGGGGTATCCCATGACCCTCCTGACCCGTCCTGCCCGTCGAGAGCCTGTTTTCCCCAATGCCCCTTCTCACGGCGCGATGCACCCCAGGAGCTGCCGCGGGATTTAAAGGGTGGGCATTTCACGGGCTCGGATTTGTTTTATTCCTCTAGGCCCTTGTGACAACTGTTGAACCAATTATTGAATTAATTTATTTCTCAGGAAAAGAGTAAAAAAGTGAAGAAAGTACGAGATAAGACAGTATAGATTTTCACTAAACGCTCTGTATAACTAACTCCTTTAATCTAAAATTAGGATTCTCTGCCTGGATTGGATGTGATCAATGGATATCATTAAACATTTCAGACTGGGAAGCTACGATAGCTATTTGGGATGGAGGTGCGACGGCATTTTTCTGCTGAAAAATCCTAACTGCGTGGTGACAATTCAGTGGGTTTTGAAGCAGCCCCAGATCGCAGGACACGGCTGCTGCGTTCCACTGGGATAAATACATTCTGTCGCACGTCCGTGAGCAAAAATAAGAGGAATGTTCATGGGAGAGTAATTGGAGGATGTTGGGAGCACTCAGGTGGGCAGCGGGAAGGAACGGGGACAACCGAGGGACGCTGCTTTCGGAGCGGGTCCCGCACGAAGGCGAGAGCTGGGGGCTACTCTCATAAGCCGTGCCGCCAGCCTATGATGACAGGACGTCCTCGGGAGCCCCGTCCTGCCGGTGCCTGCCCTCCGCCTGCAGCACGCTGGCCCCCTGCCCGGCCCTGCAGCTCGGGCCGCCGCCGCCGCCTCCCGAGACGAGCCGGCCCAGCACCCATCGCCGTCGGCAGCGCCCGGGGCAGACACCGACCGCGTGGGTCAGGGACCAGCAGGGACGTCACGAGGGCCCGGGGCTGAAGCCCCTCAGGCACAGTCAGCGGGGGCAGCTTCCCACGAGCTCCCAGGGGCCTCGGGAGGAAAACGAGAGGGTTTACCTGAACCGTGTGCGCCGCCCGCCGCCTCCTGACCCGCCCTGAGCCTCCCTGCCAGGTGCTTGTGCCTCTTACAGGGTTTTCCCTCCAACAAGCACTAACCTTAGGATTTCTGTACTTTTGCTTTACGTCTATGAGTGGGTGGCTGGTATGTGAATGGGAAGACCACAAAACACAAAACCACCCAAACCAAACCAAACCAACAAACAAAACTATGTACAGTTTAAAATTTTACTATTGAGGGAAAAAGCTAGTCTATAAAGTCATAAAAAGCTTCTACGTGGTTTACTGCAGGAGAGCGCTCAGAGGCTAAGTGGCTTTGGTGGTGCAGGTGAGACAGGGCAGCGCAGGGGAGACGGGGGCAGCGCAGGTGAGATGGGGGCAGTGCAGGTGAGATGGGGCAGCACAGGTGAGATGGAAGAGTGCAGGTGAGACAGAGCAGTGCAGGTGAGAGGGGGGCACACAGGTGAGAGGGGAGCAGTGCAGGTGAGATAGGGCAGCGCAGGTGAGAGGGGAGCAGTGCAGGTGAGACGGGGTCAGCACAGGTGAGACGGGGAGCGCAGGTGAGATGGGGCAGCACAGGTGAGACAGGGGCAGTGCAGGTGAGACAGGGGCAGTGCAGGTGAGACAGGAGCAGCACAGGTGAAAGGGGGGCAGCGCAGGTGAGACGGGGTCAGCACAGGTGAGACGGGGGAGCGCAGGTGAGACGGGGGAGCGCAGGTGAGATGGGGCAGCACAGGTGAGACAGGGGCAGTGCAGGTGAGACAGGGGCAGTGCAGGTGAGATAGGGCAGCACAGGTGAGAGGGGAGCAGCGCAGGTGAGACGGGGTCAGCACAGGTGAGACGGGGGAGCGCAGGTGAGATGGGGCAGCACAGGTGAGACAGGGGCAGCGCAGGTGAGACAGGGGCAGCACAAGTGAAAGGGGGGCAGCGCAGGTGAGACGGGGGCAGCACAGGTGAGAGGGGAGCAGTGCAGGTGAGACGGGGTCAGCACAGGTGAGACGGGGGAGCGCAGGTGAGATGGGGCAGCACAGGTGAGACAGGGGCAGCACAAGTGAAAGGGGGGCAGCGCAGGTGAGACGGGGGCAGTGCAGGTGAGTCAGGGGCAGCAGGCATCCAGCTGTGGCGGCAGCTGGGGATGCAGCCCTGGGACAGCCGGTGATGCCCGTCAGCAGAGGGTGGGAGGGAGGCCACGGGAGGCCCAGGGAGTCTCACACCTCAGCGTGTCATCCCTCGGGGGTGGGGTGTCACCGATCCAGGGATTTCCGTCATGTGTGTGCCGGGTGACACAGGGCGTGCCCTCGTCCCTGCACGCCCACCCTCCCTGGGGAAAGATGCTTTCACAGGAGAGTAGAGCAAGGCCGAATGTGCTCTCTCCGAGTTTTCTGGATCCCACTCTCAGCAGAGCGTGTCCCAGTGGAGAGTGGCTCGCAGCGGGAGCTCCGTACCCCCAGGAGCCCGCCGCTGCACTGCCACCCATCCCCCTGGACACGATTCTGCTGCGTCAGGAGCCAAAGCACCGGGTTACCTCATGACATGGAACTCAGGGACCAAGCGCGGTGGCCCCGGGGGCAACTCACCGAACTCCTTGGGCACCGAGATGGAGTAGACGCACGTCTGGCCGGCCGTGTAGTTGTGCGGGTAGTTCGGCGACAGGACGACGCCCTCGGATCCCGCGTACTGGCCTCCGCAGGGAGCTGCAGGCAGAGGTGGCCCGTGAGCACGGCAGCCAGGTGGCAGGGCGGCCTGGCCCGCGGGGGACGGAGGGGCAGCCGCGCTCACGGCCCAGGACAACTGGCCCGGGCTGCGTGCTGCGGGGAGCACCGTCGCCAGGGCCGCAGGTGCCACCGGGTGAGCAGCGCAGGTGGAGTCGCGCGGGGATGCGACGCTCCAGACCCTCCCGGGGCCGTCATCCTGCTCCTGTGACGGCGACAGGGACGGTCTCCGATTTCTACTGCTTTGCATCACGACAGGGCTCGGGGGAAATCAATGTCTGCTGCTGTCCTCTGGTGGCCGCTCGACTTGGTGCCTCGTGGGGTCGGGGCAAGTGTAACACGACAAGGACTGGGGTGTCTGAGTCTCTCCCTGTGAGCGTGGCTTGAGCTGACTGGGTCCCTAAGCAGGTGGTGGGGGTCGGGCCTGCGCCTGTCCTGGTTTCCCCTCTGGTCACTGCATTCGCTGAGCCATTTGCCGAGAAATCACCAGGGCACAGAAGCTCCACCTTAGCCCGGCCACCCTCGGCCCCCAGGGCCCTGGGCACCTGCCCACACCCCAGCCCCCCATCACCTCCGCCCGCCTGCCCGAGGGCCTGGCATTTCAGCAGAGAAAGTCTCTATTTCGACTTGGCCTTCTCCGCAGGAGACTTCCCCAGCACTAGGAGGAGGCAGACGTGCGGGCCGAGGAGCGACCATCAGCACACCGTGAGGTCCCAGGTGATGGGCTTTCTCCACAATTAGTAAAGCTCCTGGGAGTTCCCGACCCCAACAACGAGCCCCCCGCTTGGGGTTTGCGAGATGCCGAAGCCGTGGCCACAACAGGGGGGGACCCGCGTGCCTCCCCTCCACATCGGAGCAAAGGAGCTTGTGTGTCCGACAGCTTTGATCTGTGACCGGCAGGTAGAGATTTTATTTGACTAAACTAAGCGGGGTCTCCATGCTGATGTCTTAATTCAGAATGATTTCATCCTTGTGATGCACTTCCATTGACATTTTTACGATTCTAAATAGAAAAATGTTATTTTAACTTATTGATGGAAGTTAAACTCCCAAGCTGCAGACTTCATGAAACTCTGGGTGACTCGTTCTACTAGTTTAGATAAGTTTCTGAATTTTTTTTTCCACCTCGTCCATATAAGCGTAATTGGGATATTTCAGAACAATATTTTTCCTTAAGAGCTTAAAGCTCAAGTTTTACAAAGTAAGTCCCAATAAAGAATAGAAATTTATCTTTTTTTCAAGCAGATAGTTGTGCAAATACCCCCCCCTTTTTTTTCCACCTAGAAAACTCATCCAGTTCAAATTTTAAGGCACACATAGAGAAAAAATAAATAAAAGTAAATCATCGCTGGGGTAACATCTGGATGCCCAAATTATCAGACAGGCAGAAATCTTATCAAGGACACTGTCTGATGATTTTGTGAAAGAATAACTGCAAATATTTATTTTGTTCAAGGATAGGATGAAAGAGGAGTATTTTATAACAGAAGACATTAAAAAAAAATAAGATGAAAGGAAACTGACCTGACATTTTAGGTATACTGCTTCCTTGATAAGTAGTGTTATGCCTACATACGTTTGTCCTCAGACACTAAAGATAAGCACCAAAATTGTGCATTTCAAACATAACAGAACATTTGTGAAACTGATAAAAAATATGTTGAGAACTTTCATTTCATTCTCAATAATTATTCTGTCTATATCACTGTGTTGACCTAAGAAATAGATGGGTATGGGTTTATCCATAGTAGAAATTATTTAATATTAATGTTATAAAAGAAAAAATAAATTATGTGCTTACTCTTCGGTAATTAATATATCACATGGATCGTTTCCTAAATGAATAAAGAGTTGCAACAGCACCATTGTCGATGGCGACAAGAAACCTACTCATCCACCGTTAACTAGCATGTAGGTCTCATATGCAAAAGGCAAAAAAGAAAAAAAAAGGCAAAAAAAAAGGCAAAAAAAAAAAGGCAAAAAAATGCAACCAAGTTGAATATAGACCAAAAAGCAGAACAGCAAACGTCCTGACCCACGAAAGGGGATCCAGACTGTTCCAAATTCAGTTCTTACTTTATAGTAAATTTCAGTGAAGAAAAACTGTAGGCGACAGATGAAAAACCAAGAAAAAAAATCAAATCCAACATTGACAACACACCGGTCCAAACGCATTGCCTGCACCCCACAGTGTACGAGCTGTCGAAACGTAGAAAAATGCAGCGGAAGTCCCCTGGTTTACTTGGTCATCTGCGGGATCCACAGATACCCATTCGTGCATTCAATGTGCTCTTCTGCACGACAGATCCAGAGTTAAACTAGGCGGAAGGTAATTTCTGGTTTAATGGTTTGGAATTTTGAGTTTTACTGAAATGTAAACAAAGAGCATAAATAAAAATTTATGTTTTATGCAATTCGAGGACTGGTCAGTAGAAATTGTGCTTGACTTTACAGGTCTTAAAATACGGAAAAAGAAATAGTCCCCATGTGACTTTATTCATGTCTATTCTATGGCTGGACTGTTTACTATCATTCCTCCATAAGTTCAAATGTTTTTTTAAGTTTCAGACATAGTTCCCACAGCATTATTATTTAACGAAGACTAAGTCTCAACTTCTGTCTTATTTTTCCTCGGGTCCCTGTATATAATCCCTACAGAGATCTCCGAAGAGGGATATGGACATACCTGGGGGGGTACAGATGATATAATGGAACACAAGAAAAAAAAATTAGAACTTTTATCCCAAGTCGTACCTTTTTAAATGTCTATGTTCCTGCATTATTTAGGTGGCACGCCTGCTGGGAATGTGAGCGTGTGTGAATGCACTGGAGACACGGGGACTCCAAGCTCAACTGTCACATGCCGACTGGATGTGATCAAGAGTCTGGGGTCATTGCCCTTTGTTTTATGAAAGCAATGGTGTGCGCCCTTTACACATAGATTAAAATGTACATATAGAATCTAGATGCTCTATTTACGGAGCACCTACTTTGCTAGAGAGCCGTATGCGTATCCCATTAAATCGCCCAACACTGGTGAGGTCGGTGTTACCCTCTGAGCGCTGGCTGGTGAAGCCAGGACTTGGCCGCCCCTAGGTGACCCCAGGGCCTCTGCTCTAGCCCCACCCCGGGAACCTCATTCCCAAAGCATGAGGGTCCTCAAGCCCCAGGAGGGTAGCTTGTGGGCAGCCCGTGACCCGGGGCCGGGGCCCGTGGGTGTGCACTCCCCGGGGCCTTCAGGTGCTAGGAGGCTGGCGGCAGCCAGCTGAATTCCACACCACCTCCAGGAGGCCCTCCTGCAGGACAGGTGCCGCCCACAGGACCTATCCCGGGTGGAGGCCCGAGCTCACACTTTAGCCTCCCGTTGCGCTGTCTGGAGGCCCTCGGCCTTCCCTCCTGCTAGTGGGCACCACCAAGGGGGACTCGCAACATTTATGTCGTTAAATGTCCCAAAGCGACTCACACAATATCTTAAATATGTAGCCGTGAAGCAGTTTTCATTAAATAGATCCATGGAGGGGCACCTGGAGACTCAGTGGTTGAGCGTCAGCCTCCAGCTCGGGTCATGATCTCAGGGTCCTGGGATCGAGTCCCATGTCGGGTTCCCTGCTCAGCCGGGAGTCGGCTTCTCCCTCGCCTGCTGCTCCTCCTGCTAGTGCTCTCTCTCTCTCTCTCACTCTCTCACTCTCCCCCAAACAAATAAGCAAAATCTAAAAAATAACGGATCTACGGAAAGCACGGATTCATAAACTGGCCTTTTGATCATGATTTAAAAAACAGAAATAACTTGCACTGCCTAGAGCTGAAGATCTACAAAATCCCCTTATAAATTTGCTTTTTATATATGCAGATTATTGTTTGCATATATATGTATCTATATCATGTGCATGATAAACATATATTTAATATATATTTAATATATTTATTAAATACATTTAATATATATTTAAGTCTTTATTGAATCTAATATACTTTTTCTAATGTATTTATTTAAATATTTTAAGCATATTTTAATATATATTATATGGTTATATGTTTATATATTACCTACACTATAAATAAATTGTATATATGTTTGCTGTATGCTTATAGGGTTATTTCCCTTTATGTTTATAGGTGTGTATATATGCATAAAGAGTTATTTACATATGTAATTAGTGATTTTCAAACTTTCAAATGCAAAAAGTAACAGTAAACATCGAAACAGAAGTTTTAGGTACTTTTTAAGAATTGGAGATGAATGACGTTTCTCAGGTCTTTCCAAATCTATGAGGTTCTCAGGTATATTGTTTTATAGAGAGCACATTATTTATATTCTATAAAGGGCACTTGCATTTTAAACGTAGTTAATATAAGATGTTAATATTGTGTGGGGGGTGAGTTTGGGGTTAAGTGCAACATATCTAACTAAACTGGTCCATAAGTTCATCCCAAAATAACTCGGAAATCATTTTTTTTCTGCTAAAAATCATGGGTTTTAGCATCTTCTTTTTAATGGGCATCATTCTGGGAGTAGAGGGTACAAGTCTCCCACTGGAGTTTTGTCTGGAGGCCCCGATGCACCCACGGACGGGAGTACCACGCACGGGAGTACCACGCACGGCAGGGCCAGCACCCGACAACCTGGGCTGCCTCCACGTCCCTGCGCTGCCCTGGCCGCAGGGTGGCTCCGTGCCTGTTACTACGCGGCCTTAAGAATGTAATGCCCATCCACAGAGTGACGACAATTGGTACTTGGGGGGGAAATGACACATAAATGTATAGAAAGCGAAAGACAGAGACAGAGCGGGAGAGACCCAGGGAGACCCAGGGACACGACAGAGTCGGAGGCAGAGGGGGTGCAGCTAGACACCGGCGGCGAGCAGCTCTTAGGGACGCTGGGCCTAGACTCCCCAACCCAGAGGTCAGGGGTGCTGGACAAGCCAGCGGAGACGGGGATCGGCCTTCTTTCAGAGGCACACACAGGGGCCCCTACACGGGCATGTCAGGTGGTCGAGCATGGGGAGGACCTGGTCCATGCAACAGGCCAGGATGGGGAGGACCCTCAGCCCTGGGGCAGACGGAGCGGTGATGGGTGGTGGCGTTGGGAGACGAGCTGCGCCCTCACCCAGGGGGGCCCCAACCCCATACCATTGCAGGAGGGCAGCGCACGGCTCCAGGCGGGCTTCCCGTCTGCTCCGATCACGCAAGTGATGGACGAGGGGTCGACGATCTTGTAGCCGGAGTCACACTGGTAGGTGACGGTGGAGCCAAGCTTGAAGTCGACGCCAATCCTTGTCCCGTTCATTATGTTCCCGGGGTCGAAGCAGGCTTCCCGCGGCTTCTCTGTGGAAGAACAGAGGCCAGCTCCGTGAGGCCAGGAGGCCATCCGTCCGTTGGGCTGCTTACCCTTCTGTGTAGGGCCTCGGATGGCGCTGGGGGATGAGAAAGGCTCCACGAGTATCCCTAGGCCAACCCATGACCAAGTTACTAGTTCATCATCAAGTTGGCATTAATAGCGGTACATCCTAAAAATGATGGCCACGTCAACAGCGACCAGTCAATAATTAAATATCATACAAGAAGAGGAAAAACTCCTGTTTAATAAAATCATTTCTTTTTTTAACCACGTTACTCAAGAATTGCTTTGAATTACTTTCATCGAAGTTAAAAAGAAATACAGACTTATTTTCCAATGCATCCCCCGCAACACACACACACACACACACACACACACACACACACTCTGGATTACAGCACTCAGCCAAGGACACCGACTCTGGAAAAGTCGAGGTCATTTTCGACCCGTGTGCTCAGGTCACATTCACGTGAAACCACAGCACGCGTGGGGCAGCGGGGAGAGAAGTCGGCCTCTCGGGAAGGCCGGCTGGGTCCCTGGGCGCTAAGTGCACCGTCGGACCCTGGTGGCCGTGGGCAGGGGGAGGCCAAGCAAGGGAAGGGGCGGGTTCCTGGGCTCCCACTGCGCTTCCCGAGGCCAGTGCACGCTCCCGGGGAGGCATTGACGGGCCCACGCCTAGCATCTGCCCGCCCCACCTGCAGGAGCTGTGACCCCAGGGCCCTTCCACCGCCGCAGCCGGGTCGGGCGCTGCGGGCTGTACCTCTGCTCCTCAGTCGGCGAGGATGGTCGCCGGCCTCCTTAAATCTTGGGAGTCTGAAGCTCAAGAGAAGTTTAAAACATTCACTGAAAACCTGTCTTTTCCCAAATATATATACAAAACGGTCTTTTTTTTTTTTTTTTTTTTTTTTGCCCCTCTGAGACTCGTAGGTATATGGTTGATTCCAGTCAACTTTTGGTAACCTTAGTATTTTAAATGTCTTTATATTCAATAGATCTCCTAAAATACCCCTGTATGTTTTCCTACATATTTCAGCAAATGTATCATTACATCGCCCAGCGTTTCGTCATCTGAACTGCTTCCTGCTTATGCAAGTCAACAGCCTTGACGCCATCACCTAAGATCCCGGTGATGCCGGAAGGCTCTAGAAATGAACTTTTGTAGATCTTCACGTGATAGAGAAGTTACCTGAGATCGTCATCTTCAATTTTTAGCTGAAAGTCATAAAACTACAATTTGACTTCTGAGAGAGAGGGAGAGAGAATGGGGTCGTTCACATCAGTTCATGTGCAAGGACAGCTTGAGTGGATAAAATGAGCCTGTTTTTGCTCTTTCTTCTTGGCTCGACGTTCCTTCCCACTGCAGAAAGTTTATACCTGTCAGGTCCTTCATTCATTGTACAAAATCCAGGGCTGACCACCCATATACAGGATCTCTGAAAATTATAAGCGGTAGACTGAAATTTTTTGGCTGGGATTAATGCTGATCCCTATTTAAATTGTTTTTCTTACTGATTGTCTATTTGGTGCTCATTACTGATTCTACAAACTCATCTTTGGAGGGAGGGCATCCTGAGAGATTGTGCAGATATGCACGAAAGGTGAATTATGAAATGAGCTTTTTTCTTTTTTTTGAAATGAGCTTTGAAAACTGTGCAGTGTACAATCTCTCAGGAATGGATGATACATAGAGGGAGGGAAGAAAAGCACAAAGTTTTGGGAAGTTTTGCAGGAAGAAAAAGGAGGCCTGTTAACTATATTTATTCCATATTTTCTATCATATTTATAATGACCTATGTGTCAACATCAGTCAAACAGAGCTCTCTTTGGCCATTGTTGACTTAGTCTCGATGTGGATAAAAGAGAGGGTTGGTCAGGAAGGTTTCCTGGAGGACATGATGCCCCTGGGGTCCTGGAAATCAAGCCCCAAGTCAGGCTCCCTGCTCAGCAAGGAGCCTGCTCCTCCTTCTCCCTCTGCCTTTCCCTCCTGCTTGTGCTCTCTCACTCACTCTCAAATAAATAAATTAAATCTTAAAAAAAAAAACAGAAGCTAAAAATAACTTCAATGCCCTCAAAAGGAAAATACATAAATAAATTAGGATATAAACCATACAAGCAAAAAAAAATCTCAATTCTTAACGCTCTCCTATGCTAATTTAATTACATACTTTGGCTAAAATGCAATATATACTAAAATATCATATATTATTTTATTATATACTACAATATATATTATTATATCAGTATACATCAGAATATATCACTATATATTACATATTATCATAATATATACTATATTATCACCTTATAATACATTACCATATATTATATTATGTATCATATTACACATTATATATTATGTTTTTATAAATACTGCATTTTAACCAAAGCGTGTAAATGAATGTGGATGTCTATATAAATAAATGTATATTATATGAGTGTATAATTCATGTTAACATTTAAACGATAGTACATATTATTTTGTGTAACATGATATAAAACTCTTTGCGTGCTGCTCTACTGCTGGTACTGGAGCCCATCCCTGAGAATTCTGTATTATTGGAACCGCTACTCTCATCATTTTGTTGAAAGCAGGTTTGGATATTTTGAAGGGTAGGTGATGTTCTGTTAATTCCTTGTAGCTGCGTAAATCCCATATAGGGCCTAGAACATTTATTTTAGGCAGGGAAGGAAGGACTGGAGAATACCGCAGGCACTGAGGGGTCGCCCCACTCGCTGTTTCCAGCCGTGAGCACAGCGCCCTGAGCGTCTGGAAGACTCGAGCCCTGGTCCAGGCCGTACTGTTCTCTTCAAACACAGCAGCCGCATCCCCAGGCCCCCAGGAACGGCTGCAACCGCAGATAGCACCACACCCTACAAATATTTCGTTTTGTCCTATATGCACGCCCATGACAGTTTAATTTATAAATGAGGCAGGATAAGAGATTAGCAACAATAACTAATCATCAGATAGGCCAGTTATAGCAATACGCTGTAGTAGAAGTTCTGTGACTGTGGTCTCCCTCCCTCGAATGTCTCCTCGCCCTGTCCTCACTCCTCCTCTTGGGACGATGGGAGACGTGGCAGGTAAGGCGAGCGGCCTAGACGTGGTGACGCAGCTCAGGCTGCAGGTGACCCGAGGCTGCCGCCCAGGGGCGGGGCATCTGCTCCAGGACAGGGGGCAGCCGGGGCACCCGGACCGGGACCCGGGAAGCACCCAGAGCCAGGGGCCCGCCATCCAGGCACGTTGCCTTCTCAGCCTCTTCAATCACGTTTTGCACCGACCTCTTTCAGTCTGCTTTACCATTTGCTTCCACGCCCCTGACACGACTGTCCGCTCGGTGTCACCCCCCTAGGTGCCCGACGGCTGGGCTTTTCTTCGTTTCTCCAGATGCACGGCGTCCTAACCTTTGCTGCCATTCATCCAGCTGTTGGTTCCGGGGGTGTAGCCACAAATCACAGATCCCGTTTCTGCTTACGTTTTGTCACCGTTTCTAACGCAATGACTTCATGCAGTGCGGGGGTTTTGCCCTAGTCCCCGCCCCTTCTCCCACAGGGGCCCGTCTGCTTGTCCCTGCCCAGAGGCCAGAGGCGGCGGCTCAGGGAGACAGCTGGAACGCTCCTGCACAGGACGCCGGAGAGCTTGGCTGCTTCTCGGCCCCTCCGGGTGCACCTGCCAGGGCGGGCCGCTTGTCTACGGCTGGGTTCGTTGGCTCACAGCCTCTCCTGGAGAGCTCTGCAAGCATGAGGCACTACAGCCCCCAGACGGATGGCATCCTCACCCCCAGGACCCCACGCAAAACATGCAGGTCGCTCTTCCGATCCTCGTTCAACCCCGCATTCATCATTCACCCTAGAATGCCCGGGAGAGTACAAGGTGTCCAAGGAGGCAGTGGCACGCGTGCATCTCCATATTTAGAGGAAGTGCGCTGCTTCTGAAGATCCACCGGAGCATGGGCATCGTCGTGGTGAGGTGCACTGCTCTGAATTCTCGTTACTACAGAAACCACCTGATGATATGGGAAACGCTTGAAAGTTCTGCTTTCCCTCATTCATAAGCATTAACGGATCCCATCTCCAAAGCACAAGAACTCCTTTGATTGCCGAATTGATTAATAATTTTTTTTCTATTGTACATTTCAATAAGGATCAGTGAGTTTGTAGGTTTTGGCATTTAGAGGGAAATACATGAATTTCCTACTTAAAACCACGTAAAGAGATACAAGTCCAGGGAAGAGTCAACAGGGATGAAGCATGTTTTATATTTTCTTTGACAACATATTAACTAGTTATAAGTAACTCAAAAGTTTAAAAAATACATATTTTCATCATTTTTAATAAAGCACTCACTACTGTGAATTGATATTTCACTAAGTCCTTTTCTCTAATTCTTAGTAATATGTCTTGCATTTTCTTTGTCCACATGAAAAGTGGATTTGAAAAGCATGTAACTATTTTCATTGACCCCACAGTAAATGATTAGTAGGGTGGTTTTTGATTGTGAGTTTGTTTCTGTCTTTTTTTTTTCCTGGCTATTTGGTGACCGGGGATGGTGGACACTCCCATGTGGTGACCACACAAGGAATCTCCTCCTGGACTAGAGCTCTTCATGGGACCAATGACCATGGGTGGTGGACTGGGGGGAAGGCCACAAATATTACACATTGAAAAACATGGAGATAAAACCACGTTATTTTGATGTACTTAGTCATTCTGATGAAATAAGTTGGAAGATATTAACACAATTCTTAGTAGTAATTCCTAAATGCCATCAAATCCCTCATTACAGAAATCATAATTTTTACATGGTCATAAGTTTGGGGAAAAAGAAATATTCATTGTTTTTGTTTTTCTTTCTTTCTCTTTCTTTCTTTCCCTTTCTCCCTTTCTCTCTCTTTTCTTTCTTTCTTTCTTTCTTTCTTTCTTTCTTTCTTTCTTTCTTTCTTTCTCTTTCTTTCTTTTCTTTTCTTTCCTTCCTTCCTTCCTTCCTTCCTTCCTTCCTTCCTTCCTTCCTTCCAGCTCAGCTAAGGTAGAAATACATCTCTGGATATTCTTCTCCCCTGGAAAGATGGAACTGTCTTTTCCCAGACAGATGACACAGATGGGAGCATTTTATGCATTAAACAGACATGCAAGGTGTCAGAAATCAATGCTTACAAGAATACAATCTTACTACGAATTATTTGGCACACAGATTAAGGTGATTGCAGTACCTTTAAATTCAATGGCGAACCCCGACAAGCCCACAGAAGCGTCGCTCCGAAATGCCAGGAAAAGACTATTTCCACTGCTCTCTATTCTCTCTGGGGCTTGTGAGCCCTGAAAACTTCCAAGGAGAGGCCTGTTGGAATCTTCTCCTTCATAGATGTGCAGGAAATCGTAGCTGGGCTCCATGTTGAAGCTAAAGGAAAGAGCGTTCATCAGGTTAGGCCCCAATACGAATCTGTCATCGTCCAGACTAGAAAGTTGCTGAGAGCACACGGGGAGCTTTTTGCTTCCGTGTAACACTCGCAACAAATGAGAACGACCCCCCAAAATTAAATGTAACGATAGTTTACATGTCAAAATAGCGATGTGTATAACAACTGTCAATGATAAATACCGTTAGTATTTTGCAGAATGACCACTGTATTCAAAACAGTATGATTTTGAATATATTTATGAGAAGGTGGATCCTAATAACGTGGACACGGTATCCCTTCCCAGCACCCACGGAACGGCTGATGAAGTGCACTTTGAAAGAAATGGCTCAAAAGGGAAGAATTCCCGCTGATATTTGTTTTTTATGTGAATATTTTTAGTTCAAAAAATATGTATCCTTGGTATTGTTCAAGTTTTTAAAATTCTTTCTCTGAGTTTATTTTTAGTTTTAAAAACGCTTCTACTTGCTTGGGTAAATCAGCTAACGTTAGTCATCCGTGTGACGGCGGAGAGTGTGGTAGGCACCTGCTCCATTTCACGTTTCTCCATCACTGACTTTTCCCAATTTTCGCTTTCCCATCCCCCTCCTTCTGTCCCCACTCCTCCCTATGCCTCTCTTTCTTCTCTAGTATTAACTGCCCTGGTCATCCCCAAAGATCTCAAGTCGGATTTGGCTTCCAGTGTCTCTGCCATTTTGATGAGAAGACTGATGACGGTCTGGGAGCTCCAAAGTGTACATACTCTCGACAAGAGACTAAACGTGTGGATGGGTGAGATCTCGATGAGATCAGAATCAAGCAACAAATTAGATAGAAGTATTCAAGTAAAGGATCCTGACTGGGCTCCACTTCTCCATCTCAGAATCAGAGCTCTGTGTCCTTAGGAGGACTCATTCTGAGGAGCTTCTACTCTCTCTTCTGAGTTGGTTGTGTATTTGGATGAGAGGGATGGGGAGTTAGGAGTCTTAATAACTACCAACGTGTGCTTTGTGTACACGGCTCCAGTTTTTCTGGAGATTCATGTGATGACACATGCATAAAAACTCTCTCCAGAAATTTCCCATGACACTCTGAAGGGAGTGACAAGGGTGGGTACCACTGAGGACCCAGCATTAAGAGTGCACCCAGCCCTGCATCGGGCCGTCCCACATTACGTCAAGGCTACACTGTGTCCTGGGGGTGGTCCCTGGACATATTTATTACAGGAAGTTGTAAGAGGTAACCTAGTCTGTTTGGCAGATTCCTTGAAATCAGAAATGAAGACGGAGTAAAGATTGTCAGGAGCAAGTAGAAGGCACCAACAGGAATTTTATCAACCAAGTAGAATTTAATTAGAATAATAATTGTTTTTTGGAATACAAGAATGTTCTTAGAATCTGGTCACGCTGCATCCCCAATAATTAGCATAGGTGATTATTGTGATAGATTATTTTTGGGCACAGGAAATACATGAGGCACAGAAGGAAAACACTGGTTGTTCTGTCTCTCTCTCTGGAAATACTATAATCCATGCATAAGAGTCTGGAGTGAAATTTGTAACTGACTATGATTCCATTGGTAAAACCCAGTCTTAATTCTACCTACGCTACTTGTAGGGCCCACGAGCCCCAACAGGAGGCCAGAGTCTGGCCCAATTTTTAAACCAAGTTTAATATGAGTCCCAGGGTGCGAGTAGCCCCACAGTCTACAAGTCTACAGGGGCCTGTGGGAAGTCATCCCTCCCTAAATATCCCAACCACCTGGAGAAGCTTGGGAGCTAATGATCCAGGTCATGTAATGCTTGGTCTTTGCTGTTAGTAAGGCCAGCGCCCATCGGCCCCCGGCCCCTGGAGAAGCACAAGTGACTTTAGTCGTGCTCTTTAAACCGTGCATCACACATTTAAGCACGTGGCAATGCCCGACCCCCCTTTGCTTGGGTTGTTGAGATCCTCATCCCCCGCTCAGCACTTCTGGTTCCCCCTCCGTCTACTCAGGAGATCTGGTTGTAAGGTCTCAGGGTCATTCCCGCCTGAGCACACACATGTTATCTGCATCTTAGAAGTCACGCACATATGATTTTTCTGTGAAACTGGGTCAACTAATGACTTAAGAATCCAAAAGGTGGAAGAAATCCTGGAGATTTTCTACATCAATTTTCTTCTAGAAAAGTGTAAAATAAGTAGGAAAAAAAAAACTTCTTGTGTAAAACTGCCTCCTGTCTTATCACACGGATTGCACTTTGGGAGCCTTGATAATGAGTCACCCTGACACATTGGAAGACAGGAAACTCCTACTTATGAGGCTCTGTGTTCTCAAAAAAAAGGCTTTTAATTGTTAATTCACTTTTAATTCACTTTTAATGCCAGTGATGTCTCCTGGCTTGGAGGAAGGCACTGGTCGAGTTAGCATTCACAGAACCCACAACGATATCCACAAATATAGCAGCAAATCCTCAGTGGTTTTGTGTAATAGCTGAGCGGCATAATAAGGATTCATCATTGGGTAAATTTATAGCAGCTTGAGTAAATTCAAGACATGATGGCTTATCAGACTACTTAACATTTAGAATCACGGGCATTTAAAATTACACTGATTCAGATCCCATCAGGAGGAGAAAGTGCAAGAAGATAATCACAACCGGGCCTGGAATGGTGACGTAACCATCAGAAAAAGAGACATGCTCAAGCGACAAATAAATATATTAGGCCACTTCACCCTGGAGAGGTAAGAGGTCAATAGGACAGCCTATAGAACCACTTATCTTTTAAAATATCCCTTCATTGTACTACAAAGCTGTGGTCATCAAGACAGTGTGGTACTGGCACAAAAACAGACACATAGATCAATAGAACAGAATAGAGAACCCAGAAGTGGACCCTGACATCCACGAAGGCAAAAGAAACAAAAGCAAAAATGAACTATTGGGACTTCATCAAGATAAGAAGCTTTTGCAGAGCAGAGGATACAGTCAACAAAACTAAAAGACAACCTACAGAATGGGAGAAGATATTTGCAAATGACGTATCAGATAAAGGGCTAGTTTCCAAGATCTATAAAGAACTTCTTAACCTCAACACCAAAGAAACAAACAATCCAATCATGAAATGGGCAAAAGACATGAACAGAAATCTCACAGAGGAAGACATAGACATGGCCAACATGCACATGAGAAAATGCTCTGCATCACTTGTCATCAGGGAAATACAAATCAAAACCACAATGAGATCCCACCTCACAGCAGTGAGAATGGGGAAAATTAACAAGGCAGGAAACCACAAATGTTGGAGAGGATGCAGAGAAAAGGGAACCCTCCTACACCGTTGGTGGGAATGTGAACTGGTGCAGCCACTCTGGAAAACTGTGTGGAGGTTCCTCAAAGAGTTAAAAATAGACCTGCCCTACGACCCAGCAATTGCACTGTTGGGGATTTACCCCAAAGATTCAGATGCAATGAAACGCCGGGACACCTGCGCCCCGATGTTTCTAGCAGCCATGTCCACAATAGCCAAACTGTGGAAGGAGCCTCGGTGTCCATCAGAAGATGATGGATAGAGAAGACGTGGTCTATGTATACAATGGAATATTACTCAGTCATTAGAAACGACAAATACCCTCCATTTGCTTCAACGTGGATGGACCTGGAGGGTATTATGCTGAGTGAAGTAAGTCAATCGGAGAAGGACAAACATTATATGGTCTCATTCATTTGGGGAATATAAATAATAGTGAAAGGGAATATAAGGGAAGGGAGAAGAAATGTGTGGGAAATATCAGAAAGGGAGACAGAACATAAAGACTCCTAACTCTGGGAAATGAACTAGGGGTGGTGGAGGGGGAGGAGGGCGGGGGGTGGGGGTGACTGGGTGACGGGCACTGAGGGGGACACTTGACGGGATGAGCACTGGGTGTTATTCTGTATGTCGGTAAATTGAACACCAATAAAAAATTAATTCATTAAAAATAAAATAAAATATCCCTTCATTTAGTTCAAAAATCAAAATGAACTTAAAAAATCAAAATGCAAAGGTCTTGGGAGATCTTGGAATTTGGAAAAAAAATTCAATTGTCATAAACAAGATACAAGTAATACGATAGCCCCATAGAATTTATAAGATAATCACAGTGTTTGAAACTTCATCTCCCATAGCAGGAGTAAGTTAGCAACAGTTTTTTAAAGAGTAATGTCTATTAATTCAGACTTCACAGCAACCAAATTTGGGGGAACTTCCATTTCCAAAAAGTCTATCAAGTCACGATACCTCAATGATAATAGCAGGGCTACCTCTGGGAACATCAGACAAGACGTGTGATGGAAATGGCTTAGCTACACGCACGTGGAGAGATAGGGGACACTGATGAGGAATTACAGTAAGTACATCTCTATTGCTTTTTTATTACTTTTCTTGAATATTCTGTAAATTAAACCTTCTCATGTGGAACATATCGCATGCAGGATAGTATTTAAGGGTAGTTCTTACTATGTCACGTGTCCTAATGCAAGGAGACGGCTCGGCAGCAAAATAATAGATCTCCACTTACGTCATTTTGCGGCCTGATGTAGGACGTGTTGGGACAAGATCTGGGGCTTCCTTCAAGGTAAGACTGGGCTCGCCGTGAGGGGTCACGTGAAGCAATTCTTGGGCGCGACACTTCAATAAAATTCTACTACACAGACATTCTGCAAGACACGGTACCTTTTGAAAATCAGGGCAATGACGAAGTCCGGATTCACTTTTATCCTCCAGTCGCATTCTTTCCCGGGAGGATAGGGCTGTGGGTAGTTAGGGGACAGAATCACACCCGCCGGGCCCGTCAGGTTCCCTCCACACGCGGCTGTCACGGAAGAGGAACAACACTGGTCAACGTGGAATGAGACATCGCAGAGTGCATCAGCGACACTCACTACGTGTGCGTAGTACGGTCATGAAACAACTAAACTGTCCAGGTGAACACCTGGGACCCGAGAAGTCTGTACATTTTTCGTGGACTCGTTCATGGGTTTTATATCATGTCCCACCGTGCTTTTAGGGGGGATTTTTAACTCCTGACAAATAAACTTTGCTTGCTATAATTTTAAGGTTTGCCCCATTAAAGTGGACAGATTACTGTACTCTCCATACTCCCGGGGTGCACACAACACACACAGAAAAACACTTGGGAAGAGGGAAACAATCCCCATGGACGTCATTCTATGGTCCTGCTAATTCTTCTGTCCTTTCTCATGGTTTACAAAGTCATCGCTGACGTAGTCTAGGAGGCATGTTTCTGGTTCACTTGTGTCTCACTATAGCCTGGCACAGTTTTTAATCAACTATTCAGGAAATATTGGTTGAGTAAATGAATGCACGTTATTCCACATATCTCTCACCATCCTCTGATATATACGTAGCTGGCTTGCGACACAATTCAAAAATGACAAAACTAACAAAGTTTGAGTGACACCTGGGCACCTGGGAATATGGAACTAGTAAGGGATTGAGCTAGGACATCAATCCTAAAAACATGATGCTATCACAATGCTCAGTATGCTACTAGCAGGAGAAGCACTTTAGATGATGCTTATAAATCTTTTTATTTTTTAACCTATCCCTTTTTAATTACTTGGATATATTCTATTAGGAAGATGATAATCATGAAGTTCAATGGCATTAACAGGTCAGCCAGTTTTCATTCTTAAACCTCAAATGTTTAGGATGGTTTCACGTATTACATAGGATTTCTGTCAAATCTTCCATTAGGTGAAAGGTGTGAAAACACCGCAAAATTCACAAGTGTATACATTTCCGATGCATGCAAGAGTGTGCTGGGTTAACGGTTCTTCATATCAAATGCTGTGGTTTGTCACCACGTTGTTTTAAGAAGTCGGCCCAGTTAAATTACAATGTTCCATCAACACTAGATATCTTATTTCACACCACTGACCATATGTGCATTTAGGGGGAAAAAAGTAAGTAGAAAAAGAAATATCCTAATTGGCAATCTTTTTTACATGCACACACGCACACACACACACACACGTGCAAATGGCTTTTATGGGAAATTGTATGAAGGTATGTGTGTTCCAACTTTCTATAATGGCCGTGTGTTTAAATATTCGTTGAACTATGTTTTTCCATAAAAATAAATGTAGCAGACTCTAATAGTTTCTGCTAAAATTTCAGTCTCATTAATGGAAAACTCTAAATAGTGTCATAGCAAATATTTATGACAAATTCAGATATACGCTCGAGTAATACAAAATCATTTTCCCCAAAATGATAAAACCCTCATTTCCTCCAGCAAACAGTTTGATTTTAATAAACTCTGCTGAGACCACTGTCTAATTGGCTCTCGCAGGATGCTGCCTCTCGGGAGTCAAGGGGATGCTGACGGCAGAGAGCGGGCAGGTGGTGGGCGCTGAGCTGGGGCATGCAGGTACCGGAGGGTCCGAGGAGCTTCCACACCATGCAGGGTTTGCAAGATGAAGACGGACAGATTCAGGCCACTGGCTACCTGGGTGCTGCCAGCAGCATGAATGTGGGGAGGACACGAGGTACTGATTTAGGTGAAACAAAGGGGGCATTCCTGCCCTTCCCGACAGATCCGAGGAGGCATTTCTGAGTGAGGTTATCTGAAAGCTTCCAGTGGAATTTGGAGGCACTGCCTTGTGGTGCTTGTTCTCCCTTTGGGTCAAGCATTCCTCAAAACATTTCAGTGCTCACACCATTAAACACCATAACTGGTCTCGAAATAGCCACCCTGGAGATCAGGGCAAGGTGTGGACACGGAATGCATTTTTGTGATCTTAGGCTAAATTCTTACTTTTCAGAACTCTACTACTTGGAGGAAAGGGATCGCAAGCTATATAAGAAAATGGGGATTACGGAGACTTTGGGGGGATCGGTCACTCAGCACCAGAAAGTGGTGAGTGTCCTCTGGTCTGGGGGCGAGTCCTTTGGACTCAGCTGAAAACACCAGAAAGAGGGGCCTCCACTGTTGGGCTCTTTTGGATGAAGAAGGGGAGCCATCCAAACAATCCAGAAGAAAAACCAGCAGCAGATGACGAGGTTATGGAAATATGAATAATATACTGACAGGTGAGAGGCTAAGAGATTTTAGAAAAGAGAGAAAGGACCAGAAACAGGAGGGAAAACACTAATAATAATAAATGAGGGAAAAGAAATTAGTAGGCCCATCGGGAAAGAACAGATTCAAAAGGTCAAAAATAATACAAAAACAAAAACAAAAAAACATTCAACCTATTGATTTAAAATGCCTGTTAAAACATTAAAGAATCATCACTTCCTGCTCATGTCAAATTACAAGATTAAGAAATATGTACAGTGTTTTTATTTCCCCTCCTTTGGGGAAAATAAACACTCCCTCGTGGCTCTGTTGGTAATGCAGAGGGCAGTCTTTCTGAAAGAGTTCTGAAAAATGTTTTGAAAGCCCTGGAAATGCTTAAGTTCATGGAAATGCATCATTTATAAGTAATCGTGGATGCATTTTAGGACAGGAGGGCTCCCATCTGCGACCTCTGCAGCACAGGGGCGGCGGAAGCAACCCGATGAGCGCACGGTGCGAAGGGCTCAGTGTGCGCCCGCTGGCAGGTCCACGTGGGGGCTGTGCAGCCATTAAAAACCGGCAGAGAATACGTAATAGCGCAAAAGATACCTGCTCTGTAAGTCAAAGTGCGATTTACAAAACAAGCAGGATGCTGTCAGTTGAAAACCTTTTAAAAATAGATTAGACATACATGAAATAATTATGAAGCTTACTTATGCACGTTTATGTTAATAGTATTTGCCCCCAGGTAGAAAGATGACAGCTTTTTGTCCTCTTTTTTTTTCTTGTAAACTGAACATGTATTATTTTTTAATAAGGAAAAAGCTTAAAAAATAAAATTAAAAATTGTCTTAAGTCTGCAGAACAGAAGGCGCCTGGGTGCTAAGACATGATCATCCCATGGGTGAGTTTCTTACAGAGGACATAAGCCTCATTTCTGGGGGAAAAGAAATGTTTAGAATGTAATGAAAAAATAACATTAATCCATTCCTAAATATGCATTTTCTAATTTTCTGTTGCCTAATATCTATGTGTGTAGGCCTGTCCCTGGGGCAGGTGCTCAAGGCAGAGGAAACGCTGAGAACTGGATTATTCACCTAATAAAATATCTAGTGACTGGCCAAAACGATATAACTAAGACCTACACTAACGAAAGATGATAGAGATTCATCGGGAAGGTGGTCGAATTTTACAAGGGTCTAGATTAGTATGGACTGAGAAACCACCTTTAAGAGTTTACCGGATAGCTGCATTATTAAGCCCATGCAGAATGAGGGAGGGGAACGTCTGCCCCGATTTAAAAACAGGGCAGTGGTTGAAATGGTTGCTGCATTTAGAGGCGATCAGTCCGCCTCAAAAAAGAAACACGCGCAGGTCCTACAAGTCCCCAGGAGCCCGGGCTTGCACCGCAAGGCAGGCGGCACCCGGCAGTCGGTGCAGAGCGGGGCGCGGGCAGCGTGGGCAGGAGCCGCGAGCTCCCGGGGCCCCCGGGGCCCTCCCCTGCGCCGGGTGGGATGATACGGAGCCTCCTCTATCACACAATCCCCTCGAGGTCGCCCTCTGCAAGATGGCCCTTCTCACTAGGTGCGTATCATTTCACGGTCACTTCCTCTCCGCCCCGATTAATGAAATTTTACATTTTTCAAACAGATTGCAAAGAAGTACAGGTTAAACCGCGACAGTTCATTAAAATAATAAAGTTCCTCTTACACGTAAGATGAGATAGGTATTTACGGGGAAATAATTAACTGGATGAAGGGACAGTTTACATTTAAATACGATTTTATATAAACACATGTATTGCCCTAAAGGCACACTCTGGACAGACTCTATTGGATAGTTATTCAAACTGAAGTCTGCAAAACCAACTGATGCCCTTTCAATAAGGTCAAACTCTACAATTCTAGTGAATTTCAGGAGCATGCTTCTCCTTTTATCTTCATTTTGACGAAAGCAATATAATTTCTGGTTTTCAGGATCCTATTAAAATGTACCGATATCATAGAAGTGCCATCTAAAAAAAGAAAATACTTTTTATTGAGTAGGTTTTGCTGAAGGGCATGTTTCTATATTAAACATGAGAATAGCGATGGCAGGGTTATGAATTTTCCCCCGCCCAGGATTTTAAAGTACAGTAATTTGATTGACCCATATTTTTACAAGATTTGTTAAGGGTAGGAAATGTTAGATAAATGTCAATTACTGTACAATAAGTAAACCACTTTCTTTACTTCGCCTAATAAAATAAGGTTTAAAAGGTTTACAATAAAATTTCCATATAGTCTCTGAACTGGAGGGCGCGTAAGAAACTCTGGAGAAATACTTCTGGAGAAGTAACCCGTTTATGGAGCAATTTGAACGGTAACATGCATTCACTTGGAAATATAAAACTTCAGCTGCCCGATACCTATGCACGTAGGAGGGTCCGGTTGCCAGAAGAATCGGTTATTCAGCTGCACACACGTGATCTTAGCTTGTCCTTGGAGCTGGTACCCAGGGTCACACTGGAAGGTGATGGTGTCGCCCGGCTCTCGGCTGTCCCCGTAGCGGGTGCCGTTCTGAGGCATCCCGGGGTCATTGCAGGTGGATGCGATGGATGCTGCAAAGCAAAGACAGTAGCCGGTAAATGACGGGGTTGGGTGGTCCCCGCGCTTACGTACGGGTAAGGGCTCCCGGGGGCCCAAGGCCTCTTGCCCGTGAAGGAATGCTCAGAGCTCCTGTCCCCCGGGCTACAGTCAATAACGAGCATCTTGACTCCGCTTCCTTCGAGCAAATGCAAGCGGCGCTTGCTGAAAACGCAACCAGTGACGGGCCATGTGGAGGACCTGCGCCGCGCGACCCCGAATGCCCACCTGCGCGCATATCTCCCTCCGGTTTTCATGTTAACGACACTTACAATACTTCAGTCAAGTAACGCCAATCCCAGAGGACCAAGAGCACAACGGAGTTGGGTACATGTCTTCAGGGGCTGTGCCTTCCAGGGGACAACCAGCTACGGCGACCAAACTGACGCTGGGATGGGAACCGGCTAGAGAAGGCGCAGTTTGAGCCAGGGTATCGCTAGGCTCGCGGGGTGCGCTCTTCTTGGCAGAATCATTAATAACCCCATTTCACTCTCAAGGAACTTCCAATGCGGACAATGAATTATATGGTTATCCTAGTTTGGTGCTTCTGTAAGATTTTATCTGTTTACTCATGAGAGACACAGAGAGAGAGAGGCAGAGACACAGGCAGAGGGAGAAGGAGGCTCCCTGCAGGGACCCCGATGCGGGACTCGATCCCAGGTTCCCAGGATCATGGCCTGGGCCGAAGGCGGCGCTAAACCTCTAAGCCACCTGGGATCCCCTAGTATCTTCCTTTCATCGTCTGCTGCTCTTCGTCGGCATCAAATTGACGATCTTAGCATGACAGTGAGTTTTAAGCTTCCCATCATGCAGCTTTTCGACTAGTCATCGCTTGTTCTCAGGTCCAAGTGGCTGTTCCTTTCATGCAGTACGCTCTCACTCGTAGTTTTACTCTTTTATTTTTATCTATTTGTTTTCACATAGTGATCTGACAACTCCACGCACTGTAGCGTGCCCGCCACACGCGTGCCACCATCTGTCAGCACGCGACACTGTTCCCATACCACCCCGTGCCGATCCCCGTGACTTACTCACTCCCTAACTGGGAGACTCCACATCCCGCTCCCCTTCACCTTCTTTGCCCGCGTCCTCCCATCCCCTCCCTTCTGGAAACTACCAATTTCTTCTCTGATTTCTTCTCTGTTTTGGTTCTCCGATCGTTGTGTTTATGTTCTGTGTTCCAGAGTCCACATATAACTGAAATCATACGGTACCTGTCATTGTATGTCTGACTTATTTCACTCAGCATAATGTCCTCTAGATCCATCCATGTTGCCACATTTGGCAGGATCTCATTCTTCTTTATGGCTGAGTAATACTATAGGGTAAGTATTACTATATAGGGTATTATATTATACCCTATAATACTATACTATTATTATAATATTGATATTATATATATACTATTATACTATTAATATAAATAATATAGTATTACTATATAGGGTAGTATTATATACTATATATTACTATATATATAGTATATATATTCTTCAAAGAATAGAATACATATATATGTATTCTTTGTCCATTCATCAGGGAACGCTTGGGTTGCGTCCATATCCTGGATATTGTAAATAATGCTGCCATATACATAGGGGTACATGTATATTTTCAAATTAGCGTTTTTGTTTTCCTTGAGTCAATACCCACTAATGGAATTACCGGATTGTATGGTAGTTCCGTTTTTAATTTTTTGAGGAATCTCCAAACTTTTTCCACAATGGCTGCGCCACTTACCATCCCACCAACGATACACAAAGGGACCTTTGCTCCACATGCTTGCCAACACTTGTTATGTCTTGTCTTTCTGATTCTAGCCATTCTGATAGGTGTGAGGTCATATCTCATTGTGGTTCTGATTTGCATTTCCCTGACAGTTAGTGATATTGAACATCTTTTCACGTGTCTGTTGGCCATCTGGAAGTCTCCTTTGGAAAACTGTCTATTCAGTTCCTCTGCTCAGTTTTAATTGGGTTGTTTTCTCTGGTGTGGAGTTCTAGAAGTTCCTCATGTAGTTTGGATGCTAACCCCTTATACGATATATCACTTGCAAATATCTCCCCTCGTTTGGCAGGTTAGGTTGCCTTCTCATTCTGTTGTTGGTTTCCCTTGCTGTGCCAAAGCTTTTTGTTTTGGTGTAGTCTGAATAGTATATTTTTACTTTCATTTCCATTGTCTGAGGAGCTGTATCTAGAAAAATGTTGATAAGGCTGATGTCCAAGGGATAACTGTCTGGTTTTCTTTTTTAGGGGTTTTATGGTCTCAGGTCTCACATTAAGGTTTCTAAACCGGTTTGAGTTTATGTTTGTGTATAATGTCAGAAAGTGTTCCAGTTTTATTATTTTGCATGTAGCTTTTCAGTTTCCCCAGCACCATTTATTGAAGAGGCTGTCCTTTCCCTCATTGTATATTCTTGACCCCTTTGTCAAAGATTATTTGGCCATTCCCGGGGATTTATTTATGGGCTTTCTATCGTGGTCTATTGATCTATGCCTATTTTTGTGTCAGTATCATACTTTTTTAATGACTACAGCTTTGTAGCATATCTTGACATCTGGAATTTTGAATAATAAAACCTCTAGTTTTGTTTAGAAGGCAGAGCAGAGACCCAGCACATCACCCCTACAGAAGACTGGTAAAGCACTGGAATGCAGGACAGACTTCAGGAGGCAAGGTTTTAGTAAGAAAGTCAGGAGTGTCGCACCCATAAACCAACAAATTTGCGTAATATAGAATAGAAATTACAGAATTCAAACACCAGAATTATAACCTAGGTCGTACTTGCATTGAACTAGTGTTTTACAAGCAACCTTGAGTTTATTATTCAAGCAATGTTCCTAAAGAACCTAAGACCCACTTGTCCTTTATCTTGAGATTTTGCTAGGCTTCAGAAAGCAAACAAACAAACAAAACATAAGTGATTCTGTGCATATTTACAAACTTCTCCTTTGTACTGAACTGCACATCCTCAAAAGAAACTTCATCTTCTCCTCAAGCAAATGGTCGTACGTATGTATGATTACATATGCAATTCCGAGTGATAATTTCTGGCACGGTTTGTATGGTATGAAAGTGATTTAAAATGAGAGTTTAAAAGAAAAGTCAAGGAGGTCATGGATGAGCCTCATAGTAATATTTACAATTAAGATATATTTTAATTACTTCTCTTTCCAAATTTGCATTCAGTTTTCATTCAAAGCAAAAACACATATTGCCCAATAATGAAGCTTTATGCAAAGGTGCGCAAATTTTGTGCATGAATAAGAATTTCAACAGATATATCAACCTCACAAAAATGAGTGGCCCATAGAATACTCTTCTGTAGATTATTAACAGGTATTTGGTCAAACAACATCGGCAAATGCTGTATACTCCAGTTCCTTCCCATAGATTCATGGTGCCCATCACGGATTAAAGGTTCAGACAAGTCCTACAGGAAACAAACCTATTTTTTATGAAATTGTTTTTATAACAATTTTTATATGTATATATTTATATTTTTATAATTTATATTTATTTTTACAATTTATAATAATTTTATAATTATTTTTATGAAAGTGTTTATTTAATCTAGTGTTTCCTAAATTTATGAAATAATAGAGCACATTTTGCTCAACAAACTCTTCCAATTCTTCCAAGTAAAGATCAACAGAATACGAGGATATGAAAGACCGGCTTGCACTAATGATTATATGTCCTTCAATGCTTTGATGTTCAATTCAGTTTTATGAGTACGTTTTCTAATTTTAAACCAGATTTTCACTTGGAATGCCAAGAATGATATTAGAACTCACCATTAACAAGTTATATTCTCGTGAATTCATGTCTACTCAATAGAAATACCGCATCCACAGATTAGCTAAGTGTATGACGATGTGAGTTGTCATACGATGGTTCTCCCTATGGTCTCAGAAAGGATGCATGTATTTGCTTGTGTATCTTCAAAGACGGTTTGAAATTACCAGGAAATCAACAATGTCGTCTTAGTCGAGTTGAAATGAACCCCAAACCTTTACCCTTTCCTTCTAGAATTATGAAATAAAAATAAAACGTTGCCAGGGTTATCTAGATTGGATTAAAAAAAGCAATGAGAACACCTGAGGTGAAACAAAGAGAATAATTTCAAGCAATGTAGGGGGAACTGCATGGGTTGGGTCTTTGAAATAAATGCCACTTTATTTTCTTCTAGTTATGAATCGCGGAAAGATGTTTCCTGGTAAAGGCAATAAAGCTCATCCAGAAACTAATAGGAAAGCCCCTAACAATGTGATGGGGTCAGAAATTGCTTCTCCACCTGCAGGGTCATACAAAGTTATTGATGATGCTTGCCCTCATTTCTTTTTCATGACTGTATTCTTTTATGCGCTGCAACATACCTTTTACGCATTTTTGCCTTAAATATTTTCTCTGCAAATGGGATTTTGGTGACTCTGAATCTTTCTTGTTTCTCACCATAAAAAAAAAAAGAAAGAAAGAAAGAAACGCTGCTTTTAGTGACATCAGCCTTATCCCTGTATCACCTTAGAGAAAGAAGGTATTGTTTCTGGGGCGATGAATATTGAGGCTTTCAATTTCCCAAGGGGTTCTCTGGAATACTTCAGGTCATAAGGCATTTTCCAAAGTCCCCATAGAATCTAAGAGATGTCTCCACTCCTTGTCCACTGGCACCAGGCCCATTCCAGTCAGCTTGAGTAATTCAAAACTTGGGCTCCACTTAATGGAAAAGTAATGGGTCTTTTTGTTTCTTATAGACAGAGAAGAACCATTTTATACTAAGAACCTGCAAGGGACCCAAATTTCCTCCTAATTGGATAAAGTGATTCTTGACACTGAGGAATTCATAGAATATATATATGTGTGTGTCTGTATATGTGTGTGCACGTATATACATGTATTTCACGTTATGTACAAAGTTACGGGGTTTTTTTATTATAATAAAATAAGAATTAAGAACTTGGGCCACATCCTTTTA